ACCGCCACTTTTTGAACATGTTTTTTTCCAATTCGTTAGGTTTGATCTACTGTAGGCGCCAAGTATCCCATTATTTATCGAATTTTTTAGTCAAAAATCTCTTTCTTTTGTGTTTCTTTCTATAAAATTTCGGAGTTTTTTGTGGAACTTTAGAAACTTCAACTTTAGAAAAATATTATTTTTCAGGTCCAATCGTCGTCTATCAACAGCACAAGCACACTCGTCAGCTTCGCAAACCCATGCAGCTGATCACCTGCCCCAAAGCCAAAGAGAAGGTCCAGGGAGCAAAATATGAGAAATGGTAGATAATAATGCTAAAAATAAGTTGATAATTACAATTTTCAGCTCAGAAGCTGCTCGATCCACGTCATCTCCTTCCCGGCGCGACCCAACAGACACCTAGGGCTCATTCTTTTCAATCCCCAACGGCTTGGACCACCGCTGCTCCGTCGATGAGCCACCAGCTCTGCAGAATTCATCCTCAAAAGGTGAGTTTGTTTTGCAGTACCCAATAAAAACAATTTCACTTTTTCAAACTTCCAATCAAGAAATAAATAGGATAAAACATGTACAGGATGGCTCTTTTACTTTAAGCTTTAAGCCATTTTTTCTCGGTTACTGTGAGTGGCATAAAAAAGTTGCCAACTGATGAAATGTTCACCATATTATCACAAACATTTTATCAATTGGCCACTTTTTGATATCTTGCACAGGAGTCGAGATAATTGAGCTCAAAGTTGGCAGTGTGGGGCCCATTCAATCACAGCCTTTACCGTAGTTTTGATGATCTGAAAATTTTTCATATAGCTCGATTAATTTGAAAATTAAAAGCGTTCAAACAAAATGAGAATATAATTTTCTATCTAATTTTTCTCATATTTTGTTTCTAGGAGATGGATCGAACACTGGAACGTCGAAGTAACTGGAGAAAACTCGAAGAGTTCGAAGGACCTGGGGAGAAGAAGAAGAAGGACACCTGGATGTGGATGGAGAGAAGAGAATAACTTGAAAAATGATCTTAATATGATATATGTTCACTTTTCTTTTAGACTGATATCATTCTTCATTTTTAGCCCTAGAAACTCTCTATCTCTATTATATCTCTATTTTTGTCCGTTCGATGACTGACTAGGAGGCTACATCTGAATTATGAAACGTTCGTTGATGGGATTTCGATCCTGTCTGTGAGTGACCACTGTTTCAGATGAGCTGAGAAAGTTATCATTCTCTGTTTATAGCCTTAGAATATTATCAATATCTGTCTGCTCTCCATCCGATGACTGACTAGGAAGCTACATCTGAATTATGAAACGTTCGTTGATGGGATTTCGATCCTGTCTGTGAGTGACCACTGTTTCAGATGAGCTGAGAAAGTTATCATTCTCTGTTTTTAGCTTTAGAATATTATCAATATCTGTCTGTTGTCCGTCCGATGACTGCCGAGGAGGCTGACTCTGAATTACGAAACGTTGTAGATGGGATTTCGGTCCTGTCTATGTCTGACCACTGTTTCAGAGTAGCTGAGAAAGTTATCATTCTCTGTTTTTAGCTTTAGAATATTATCAATATCTGTCTGTTGTCCGTCCGATGACTGCCGAGGAGGCTGACTCTGAATTACGAAACGTTGTAGATGGGATTTCGGTCCTGTCTATGTCTGACCACTGTTTCATAGTAGCTGAGAAAGTTATCATTCTTTGTATCTAGTCTTAGGAACTTATAACTATCCCTCTCTCTCTCTCTCTCTCTCTCTCTCTCTCTCTCTTTCCACGATAGTCTTCTGAAGAAACGGTTTTCAATCAGAGCACCAAAACCCTTACTTTGTGGAACTTTTAAGGTTTGACTTTTTTCCAATAATAATTTTGAGAGTGACCAACTGATGGACTTTTATCAATTGAGCAAAAATGAAAATTTTCAGAGAACCAAGTGCTGAGAAGATGATAGGATTTCCAAAAGGATCAAGAGGCGCTCGGTCATCAAGATGATTATTCCTCTCCCCATGATCCGTCTCTATCAGTTGTTCAAATATCACCAAGACAACTTAAAGTGAGTTTTTATACCGTACTTGCTCTAATAGAAGCCCTCCCTGTGAGTGCACTTTGAGCTCAAATATCTCTGCTCCTGTGAAAGGTACCTAAAAATTGTTAACTGATAAATTGTTCATCATGATATCTCTCATGTTATCACAGTTGACAGGTTTTTGATATCTCTCAGATGAACCGAGATAAATGAGCTCAAAGTTGATGGTTTCGGTGAGCTTCGATTAGAGAAAATAAAATCTTTCTTTTTTATAAAACGGTAGACGCGTCTGTTGTTCCTAGTTTCCGGCTGTCCGGTTTTGGGTTTTTAAATAAAAGGAAGGACGCCACCAAAACCGAACCCGCGGCCCTCCGCACAATAGCCGCTCACACACACAGCTGCGCCATGAGGCCCACACCAGGAGAGGGGAGGGAGGGCGTAGATGTTCTACAGCGTGAGAAATAAAAATTGAAAAGTGAGGAGTGGAGCGACGAATAATTGAAAATGCTTGAATTGTGAAGCGCCGGAGGCGCGGCAAACAAAAGGCTGGTAAGTTTATATTTCATTAAAAAATAGGCAACTTTCGTATTTTTTTTAAACTGAAAATGTGAAACTTTGTTTTTTTTTTGCTATTTTGTTTTAATAAACTTTCTTTTTCAGCCCAGAAGCTATTCGATCAACGTCATCCCCTCCCGGTACAACCCAGCAAAGGCCAAGGTTAAGACTTGGACGGCCGCTGTTCTGTGGATGAGCCACCAGCTCCGTAGGCTCAAGACTCCAAAGGTTAGTTGGTCTAGCGTTACTACCGTCTGAAAAAGATTCCCACTTTTTCAAATTTTCAATTGAAAAATACCTACCATAAAACTTGTTAATAGAAGGGTATCATACTATTAACTTTGAGCCATTTTTTCTCGGTTCTTGTGAATGGTATGAAAAAGTTATCAACTAATAAAATGTTTATCATAATAACACAAACATTTTATCAGTTGACCGCTATTCGATCCACGTCATCCCCTCCCGGAGCAACCCAGAAAAGTCCAAGGACCATTCTTTTCCATCTGAAAGCACTTGAACCACTGTTGCTCCGTCAATGAGCCATCAGTTCTGCAGGCTCGAGATTCAAAAGGTAAGTTAGTTCTGCGGTACCGGACGAGAAAAATTTTCAAAATTTCAAATTTCCAATCGAAAAGTGACTACCATAAACTTGTTAATAGTAGGGCACCATGTTTTTAATGTTGAGCCTTCTTTTCTCGGTTCCTGTGAATGGTATGAAAAAGTTATCAACTAATAAAATGTTCATCATAATATCACCACCATTTCATCAGTTGATCGCTTTTTGATATCTCCGATAGGAACCGAGATAAATCAGCTCAACGTTGACAGTTCGGGTGGGCTTCTATTAAATGAAATACGGTAGTTTTTAAGATTTCGCTGAGTTAATGTAGTTTAAGTGATCATCCTTGTGAACATGGTGCATCGACCATCAATGTAAATTATAAACTAGCATAACTTTGTTCAACATTTAGCTAGAAAAATTAAATTCATAGTATTTTGGAGAAAATTTTATGGGATTTAAAATAATATCAAGTTTCTTATAATGACTTTTCTGTTTTCAGAGAATGGATCAGAAGAAGAGAGCCCGGAGAGCATCGACAACTGGGAGAAACGTGGAAATCACTGGAACTTGTCTTTCAGCAGTTGGTGAGTCATCATATAGTGTTATATTTGTCAATTATCTAATTTCAGAAAGCAAATCGATTCGAGGAGTATCAAAGGATCTGGAGATGGAGGAGAAGCACATCAGGATGTGGATGGAGAGAAGAGCATAACTAATTGAATGTTCTCAATGTTATTTCTATTGTTTTCTTTTTCTTTTCTCTTATCTTTTTTATGTTTCTGGTCCGTTTGATAGCTCTCTCTCCATCCACAAAATCTTCTGTACCAACGGAGACGAATCGAAGCCCCAATGGAAGATGGAGCTGGAAACAATCGACTCCTCACCCTGTAATCTCAATTTACTTGCAATTTTTATTCACTATCTTCTAATAATAAAAGTTTCGAACGGGGCAGCCCGGAACCCTATAGATGGGGTCCGGACTGCGATGTGTTGTTTTGAAGCTTCGCTGTGATTGCGAAGCGCTTCCGAAAATCGGAAAACTTTCTCTCAAAAAAAAGTCAGTCGAGGTTGTTTCTTCTGTAGGAAGGAATAGGAATCAGAGTCTGAAGCGAAGAAGGAACAGATGACTATCGATACTTTGTAGAATTTTTAAGGTTTGACTTTTTTCCAATAATAATTTTTAGAGTGATCAGCTAACTCATGGTCTTTTATCAGATAAGAAAAATGAAAATTTTCAGATAATCAAGTGCTGAGTGGCAAAGATGGGATTCCCAAAAGGATTTCAAGAGGTGCGATCCTGGACATTTTGGCGATTATTCATTGCCCGCCGCCCGTTTTCATCGGTTGCTTGGAAATCACCAAAATCACTTGGAGTAAGTTTTTAAAATACCACACTTGTTCTAATAGAAGTCCACCTTATACGTTCACTTTGAGCTCAAATATCTAGGTTCGTCTGAAAGATATCAAAAAAGTTTTAACTGATAAATTGTCTATCATGATATCACCCATATTTTATCAGTTGTCAAATTTTGGATATCTCTCACAGAAACCTAGATAATTGAGAAAAGTTGATGGTTTGGGTGGGCTTCAATTTGAGAAAATAAAATAGATAATTGAAATTTTCGAGCCAACGAATTCATATCTAATTTTTTGATCTGTTGGATTACCTATTCTTACCTATTCTTCCACTGAGAATGTGAGACTCTGCATTTATTTTTGCTATTTTGTTCTAATAACTTTTCTTTTTCAGCCCAGAAACTGTTCGATCCACGTCATCCTCTCCCGGCGCAACCAAGCAAAGCCCTAGGACCATTCTCTTCCATCCCGAAAAGACTTGAACCGCTGCTACTCCGTGGATGAGCCAACAGTCGTGCAGGCTCCAGACTCAAAAGGTGAGTTGGTTCGGCAGTACCGGATAAGAAAGATTTTCAAAATTTCAAATTCCCAATCGAAAATTAACTATCGTAAAACTTTTAATAGAAGGGTATCCATACTTTTAACTCTGAGCTGTCTTTTCTCGGTTCCTGTGAATGGTATAAGAAAGTTGTCAACTAATGAAATGTTTATTATAAATCAAAAACATTTTATCAGTTTACTAATTTTTGATATCTTCAACAGGAATCGATATAATCGAGCTCAAGATTGACGGTTCATTTTTAGAAAAAAAAAATCTTTTAAAAAATCAATTTTTGTAATTTTGAAAATGCTAAACAACTGGTCTTGCCTATAATCATTTGTCTTTTTCTTTTCTTCTTTTTTTCTCTTTTTCTTGTTTTTTTTCCAGACAAGTTAAAGGAAAAACTAAAAGAAAAAAGGGCAAATTTTTCCTACGAAAAATCTTCGATCCCTCTTTATGCTTCTTCTATATGAAATTGGTGAATTTTATAAAATGGAATTTTGAGTGTTATAATTCAAAAAAAAATTTCAGGGTAATCAATCGATGGTTTCTGAGCGAAGAAGTCTACAGTCTTGCCAATTTCTCCCATCGCTCCTTCGGCTGATCAAACCATCATTGGTGAGCCAATTTTTATCTTCAACTATCCATAAAAAAATTCCAGGTATCCTCGTCCACCAAACTTCTTCAACAGCTCAAACATACTTAGCTGATCTCCGGTAGCAGCAGGAATGGTAGGTCATACTGTTAAAATAGGTTATTAATTAAGGTTTTTCAGCCCAGAAGCTACTTTGATCCCGTTTCCGCAGCGGCCCAGCAACCCCCAAGATTTTCCTCTATCCCCAAAGACTTGAACCGCCCTTGCTCCATTTGACTGTGATCGAGCCACCAGCTCGGCAGGATCTAGACTCAAAAGGTAAGTTGGTTCTGCAGCACCCGATGAGAACGATTTTCAAATTTGCTAATCCCAATATTTAAAAAAAACTACCGTAAAACCTGTTAATAGAAGGGTTCCCATACTTCCAACTTCGAGCCATTTTTTCTCGGATCCTGTGAAAGATTTTAAAAAGTTGTCAACTAATAAATTGTTTATCATATTATCACAAACATTTTATCAGTTGACCAACTTTTTATATCTTTCAAAGGAATCGAGATTAGTAGGCTCAATGTGGACGGTTCGGGTGGGCTTCTATTGAAAGGAATACGGTAGTCTCGAAAATATTTCATGTAGCTCGATTGTTTTAATATTTGAAAAAGTTAAAAAAAAAATATGTTTTTCTAGAAATAACATTGATAATTTTTCTATTTTTTGGTTCAATAAGCACTTGTGTCGGTGGCCCAGGATTCAAGGGTACATCGAAAAAGGGTGATCAAAAAGCTAAAAAATCTGTAAAAACTTATTTTACAATTAGTTTTTTCGTCCGCCCACATGTACCAAGAAATGACATGTACCCTTTTGACGTACCCTTGGATACTGGGCCCCAGTAGGTAAAAACTAAATGAGTAACTTCGAGTTTATATTTGTTTTTTTTTTCAGAGAATGGATCAGAAGAAGAGGGCCCGAAAAAAAGTCGACAACAGGGAGGAACATGCAGTTGGTAAGTCATTATATATAGTGATATTTTTCATTTCTCTAATTTCAGAAAGCAAATCGATTCGAGGAGTTTCAGAGGACTTGGAGATGACGACGGAGCACATCAGGATGTGGATGTAGAGAAGAGCATAACTAATTGAATGTTCTCAATGTTATTTCTATTGTTTTCTTTTTCTTTTCTCTTATCTTTTTTATGTTTCTGGTCCGTTTGATAGCTCTCTCTCCATCCACAAAATCTTCTGGACCAGCGGAGACGAATCGAAGCCCCAATGGAAGATGGAGCTGGAAACAATCGACTCCTCACCCTGTAATCTCAATTTATTTGCAATTTTTATTCACTATCTTCTAATAACAAAATTTTCGAACGGGGTGGTCTGGAACCCTATAAAAGGGGTCCGGACTGCAATGTGTTGTTTTGAAGCTTCGCTGCGATTGCGAAGTGTTTCGAAAAATTGAAAGACTTTCTCTTTAAAAAAGTTAGTTGTAGAAAAAAAAGTCGTCGCAAAATTAGGTTGCTCGCCAGTTGTTCGGCTGCTTGTTATTTGCTAGGTGGCCAGTTGTTAGGTTAGTTTTTCGGTTAAAATTAGGTGGCTTGCCAGTCGTTCAACTTTTGAACATGTTCCGAAATTCAACGTTTCTCATCCGTTGTTGAGCCGCTAATCAGCTGACGACCGCCATGTGGACACGCAACGCTTCCAAGCTTGGCTCAGTGCCAAATTTTAAATTGAGGGTCTTTTCCGCAATGCCGTGCACCGGCTTCTAGGTCACCAGCAGCACATGTAGGTGCAGCAGCAAAAAAGCTTTATTGTACTTCTTGGAAATGGTAGATCTAGATAAAATCGTGAATTTAGAACATTGAATTTTTAAGAAGATACTCTGCAGGCGACGCTGAACCCTCTATGTAATATGCACATGGTGTCAAATCAGTATCAGTAATCGGAGAGTTGTTAATCGGTGGCATCTTCCACTTATGGCTAAGTTGAAATAATTTCTGAGATTTTTCTTCCATGTCAATTGGTTTCTCCTTGCTCCAGGAATAAAATGCGTTCCATTCTTTGTCACGACGCTACCCGAGCTTTTATCAAAAGTGTAAAATTCTTCAATTTGTTGTGGTCGGAAGTTTCGCGGAAAAAATGCCCTGGATCTTTGCGAAAAGAAGAAAATGGTTTTGAAGGTTTTTGAAACGAAAATAGTTAATATTTTGAGCAAAAAAGGACTGATTAGCCAGACTTTCACCTGTTGATCCCTTTCGCCACGTAGAGGCTCAGTACATAGAAAGGGAAAAAGGTTTATTTACCAATGGGACACCTTCCAAACCCATTGTCCTCCGCCTAATCCATAGTCGTGCTATGCCCCATGCTAGTGATACATCCGTCCAGCAAACCGTAGCCCGCATGACCGTCTATACCAATCTAGCCCAGTGCCCACCAGGCCCACGTCACAAACAAAAATAAAGCCCACTCTTTTCAATCATTCAAGAATGTTGAAAAATGAAAAAGTTTTCCAATTCAGGAAATCAGGAACTCTGAAATTCCAGAAAATTTCGAATTTCCCTGAAAAGATACAGTAATCCTACAGTAACCCAAAAACTGAAAGTTAAAAAAAAACAAACTCCAGTAATCTTCGAGCATTAGTATGTAGTAACAAATCAAGAAACTTTTTTGCGATTTTTGCAAAAAAACTCAGTCTAACATAAGGGATTTTTTTTCAAAACCCGAAAAAAAGTTTTGATTTTCTCTTATCAAAATGTTCTCCGTTCAATTTCAAACTATATCTCGAAATTTCAGTCTTAAATCTCTTGTTTGAACTGAGTTATTGAGAATTTTTCTAAGCCTATACTTAAGCCTATTTTGTTTCAGAATTTTGTCCATAACTTCCGCTACCTAAAATTGAATGTAGAACGTTTTTAAGAAAATATACATTTCGAAGATATTACATACTTATTGCATTTCGATAGAAAATTGAATACAGATTATGGGTGTATTACAAATGTATCAACAGAGCGGAAGAAGAACAAATATTGGTATAAGTGAAAAATATGAAATGACAACCTGTACTTCTAAAATGAAATACGTTAATTCTTGGTAAAACGGGGGATTGAGATTCGGTTTGAAGACGAAAGGTGGTTTGAAATACTTGAGAGAAATACTGGGAAGACCAAAAAAATACTGAATTGTTTTTACAATGACAAATAAAGCTCGTGATTTGATAATCAAACAATTCGGAAATGAAGGAGAGAAGTGTTCAGAAAATTCATTTTGGGGTAGTTGTTCCTGTGTCTGGCTTAGATGATTCAGTAGTTCTTCCTGTGCTTGGCTTAGCTGATTCCTCTTGTACCTGGCTTAGCTGATTCAGGTGTTCCATCAAACTGTATGCTGCACCACCTGGTGGCATACCAAGTAGCTGACTGAATACTGCTTCTTGTGAAATGGCAGGCTGAAAATTTCAGGATGAATCGTTTATCTGACAAAGTATACATACATTTTCATCCTCTTTTATCTTTCTGCGGAAACGTTGCTGGATAAAGTCTTTTCTCATGTGAACTGGACGATGGGTCTAAAAAATTGTATTTTTAGGTCTTCAGTATGTTGTATTATCTTGAAATATTGGTCATTTTATCCCTAATAAAAACTTAACAACCGAATTTGCTTCATTCTCACCAGACTTGAAAACGGTGATATAACGGGGCCCTGGCGGCTCTCTCATCGTTCCTTTTAAAATCTTTATTTTCGGACCAACTAAATTACGATATGATAGAACTAGACAAATACTACAAAATGATACTATTTTATATATTTTATCTTGTCTGTAAACAAAGTTACAGACAAAACGACCCAATAACGGCTCAAAAACGGCCCAAAACACAAGCCCGAGCGGGCCCTGTCATAGTTTCTTTTAGGATAAATATTTTCTTGCCAACTAAAAAAGACATGATAGAACTCGACGAGTACTACAAAATGATACTGTTTGAAAAACTGTACCTTGTCTATGAACAAAGTTTCAAGCTGAAAACCGTCTAAGCTCTACGCGGTCGATCTTTTTGGTATGTGTAACTTCGTTCATTGACAAGGTACCGTTTTCCAAAAAGTATCATTTTGTAGTACTCGTCAAGTTCTATCAATCCTAGTCTTATTGGTTAAAAAATAATGATTCTCAATTAAACTATGGCAGGCCCCAGTTTGTAAGTATGCTTTGCCTCTTTTTTCAACCCCCATCAACTTTCTTCTCGTCGTTGCCTAACTCGTTAACGCGCGAAGAACTCATTCCTCTTCTTCACGACGTTCCATGGCCCATCGTCATCCTCATCATGATCGTTTTCTTCGTCTTCTTCACTCGAGTCAACGAAATTTCGAATTTCCATCGATAATTAGTCGAAACGACCTTTCCGACTGACTACCTATCGCCAAAACCACAGCACTTGGTTAGGAAGACAGGTAATCGGACTCCAATCTTCTAATTATGTTTAGAAATGAAGAAGAAGAAGAAGAAGAATAAGGTGAAATAAGTAGACGATTTTCAAGGTTTTTTTAGCTTTGTAGTAAAACTTGACATTCGGATTAGAATTAAACTCACTCTATGAAGTCGATAATACAATCCACAAGCATTACAGACTAGTTTTCCAGCCAGATCACGTCTCCAGGCAGTCGTCTTTGTTGTTGAGCAGTTTGAGCATCTGGAGCCTCCTGAATTCGAAGAGTCATCTTCGGGACTTCCCGCTGCATGGACTACTGATGGTGAAGGAGATTTCTAAGAATGAAGAATTGGAAGTGATCGTGCGGATTAAGTATCTTACCCCGTTGAACTGAGAAGCCAACTGACTCAACAGATCTTGCTCATTTGGGCTTGGGTTCGGTGGTGAGTTTGAAATCTCTAATGGTTTTTGTTTCACATCTTCTTTCACTTTTTGAGCTTCCTTTTGTATAATTTGAGCGGCTTGCTGAGCTTGCTGATGATGTTGCTGTTGCTGCACAAGGTTCAGAAACTGCATCATGTTTTGAGGATTCGGCATAGGGTCAACTGGAAATCCAATAACTTATCACCAAGAATCTTATCAACAAAACACAAGTTTTTATCACTACAGAGGCTATAATCAACGTTTCGTGTCATAAACAAGTTGTGATTACTTGAAGCAATTTTCGAGGAGTTTTAATCATATATGCCTTATCAGTTGACTCGTGAGAAAGTGTTAGGAAAACAAAAATGAGCTTAAGGATTGATAACGTCAACTAACGTAGTTAGTGTACAAAGATCTAACAAGGCTGATTGGCCCTTCCAACTATATATACAGGGTGAAAGACGCTTCTTAATCTTAAATAGTTAGTTTGTACCAATCAGCTACTTGAAATGTTCCTTTGTAAGCTAATCCACTCACACATGAGTCCTCCATTGAAATGATTGAAGTCTGCGAATGGAGAACTTGCAGACACTGGAGTGGAAACCTGTCTCGGAACCTTCTCGATTGTAGAACCATTTCCATTCTCGTGAATCAAACTATTCTCGAAAAGTCGATTGACAGATTCTTTCGTCGGTTTGCGTTTTCTACTTCCGCCATTTCCCATAACAGCAGATAACATTTTCCCGTTGGTCTGAAAAGCTGGCGACTCTCGACTTCCTGATGGGGATCCAGCGTACTGTAAAATTAAAGTTGATTTTAGGACAAGTGATATCCACACCTTTTCTTCACTTCCACTTTCTGACATTTGTTCCTGATTCATTCGTTCCTTTTCAGCCAGCATCACCTCGAGACGTTCACAAACAGTTTCGATCTTGTTCATGATTTTTTTGACGTCCTGCAGAGTTAGGAATACACATAGGAAGGTAAAAATAACCCAAAACTAGTTGTTTATGGTTTCCGGTTCTTTTGAATCATACCATAATATACAGTATCAGCTGAATGATGTTTTCGAGGAAACTCTAGTGATCCGGGACTAAACTGATATAACGTAAACAATCGAAGGCGTCCCTATACTTCTACTTTGAGTTCAATTATCTCGATTCCTATAGAAGATATCAAAGTCTGTTAACTGATAAAACGTGTTTAATGCCATGATGAATAATTGATCAGTTGACAACATTTTGGTATCATTAACAGGAACAGCGAAAAATATAGAAAAGTGATCACCAAGCAAAAAGTATTATCATAATCACTGTTTTATCAGTTTTAGTTTCATAGTATCTTTCTTGTTATTCAAAATAGTTCATTATACGGTAACCGTACTACGGTAGATGATTTGATTTTTTAAAGATGATGCACTCGCTTTGATCTCTTTAAGATCCGAGATAGTTACCTCAAGACATTTCCAAAAAGAATTCAGGATCTACAAAGAGAAGTACTGTGTGAAAATTATCAGAAAATCGTTTCTCAAAACTACCGTATTTCCTCGAATGGAAGCCTACCCAAACCGTACACACTGAGCTCAATTATCTCGGTTGCTATGAGAGGTATCAAAATCTTGTCAACTGATAAAGAATCGGTGATATTATGATAAACATTTTATCAGTTGACAACTTTTTGATACCTTTCATAGGAATCGAGATAATTGAGCTTAAAGATGATATTTTGGGAGGTATGTTCTACTATTATTTCTCTAATAGAAGACCACCCTGCGCATGCACCTTTCTCTAATAGAAGACCACCCTGCGCATGCACCCTCAATTATCTGAATTTCTATAAGAGATATCAAAAATGCGTTAACTGATAAAATGTTTCTGATATAATGCCAAACGTTTTATCAGTTGACCGATTTTTGATATCTCTTATAGAAATTGATATAATGGAGCTCAAAGTGCAGGTGGCCCTATCTTAGAGTGCAGCAGATATGATTTCAAAAGACAATGATGATTTGATCTGTTCAAAATCCGAGATAATTTAGAAAAAGAATTCAGGATCTACCAGATGGAAACCGTTTCTCAAAACGAATTAAACTCGAAATGATAACTGATTTCAGATCACAGAACTTTTTAAGAACTGATTGGAATCATGATAACCACAACGACGATTGAACGAATCGAATCCGGAAACACTTGATAAACAACCATTTTGGTTTTGAATAACTCCACCCCAAAAAAAGCACCTGTCGGATTTCCTGATGCAATTGAACGCATCCAGCACAAGGTCCTGCTGGCTCTGCTGTTGCTGCCACAGCTGACGACCCATTAGACTCCACCCCAATCTCTTCTTTTGGCTCAGGCTCCACCTTCACTGTCTTCTCAAACTTCTGTTTCTCTTCCAGCACCTCGTCCTGCTCCTCCGACGTCATCTGGAAATCACGTGACGTTTGAAAAGAGAAGATTCAAGGAACGAGAGAGAGAACGAGAGAAAGAGAGAGAAAGAGAATTAGTGAAAAAAGAGTGAGAAGAGCAAAAGATTTGAGATGAGGACGACTTCAGGGTGAAGATGAAGAAGAAAAAGAAGACGGATAATTAAGAGATGAGATTCATTTATCCGTCAAAAACCAAAAATGGGTGGTGAAATGAAATACTGATTAAGAAGGAGGGATTGGGGGTTCGAGATGATTTGAGATTTTCCGAGAGAAAATGAGAAAATGCAAAAAGTGAGAAAACGTTGAAGTGAAGAACGAGAGAGAGAGAGGAAACAACACAACCATGCAAAGACGAAATAGTGGGCGTGGCTTCAATGTGAAACCAAAATTATTTTGGGGCGGGATTTATATATGTTATTAGATTAAATTATAAGAGTTATTATGGTAGAGGAGAAGGAGAGAGAGAGAGAGAGACATTGGTAAAGCTCACAGATTGGTGAAACACGCGGAATTATTTCTATGTGTATTTAGATAGGTGGGGAATCATTATATATAACAAGACGTGAATCATATACGGGGAATGATAAAGTGATAGAGAGAAAGAATGAAACAGAAGGAAAAGAGAATAAAAGAAGAGCAATTAAAAGTTATAATTTAGAACCCAGCCGCACTACTATTCATCAGCTCATGAGCCTGAGTGAACTGGGTGATTTGTTCCAGAAAACTGAGAGCCGGCGATCCTCCAGCACCCGAACCACCAGTCGCCATAGTTGGCATTTGGGTAAACAGTTGATTGAGGAGGGCTTGATCGGTTAGGGAAGCGGAAACATCCTTCTCCTTGTTCTTCCGACGATAGCGTTGTTGGATGTGGTTCTTTCGCATTTCGATCGGACGGCGAACCTGGAATAATTCTTAATTTGTTACAGTAATCCATATGTGTGACCCAAAATCTAGTCTCTGATTCCCTGATACATATACAAGCCAGACGGGGCACTCTACTCTAATTACTCTTTCCACCACCACCGCCACGACGGCCTCTTTCCCCTATTGTGTCGCCTATTGTTGTGTGCAAATTGAGAAGAAGAAGATGTTCCGCCCTTAGATGATGTACTACCTTTTCTTCTCTTAGAATACTCCTAATATACCCCACCAAGGTTATGAAATTGGGTGAAGAGGTTGGGGAGAGATGATAATTAGTAGTGGGATCGATCAGAAGACCATCTGTCATTGAGTCATTTTTGATTAAAAAGGGTGAACCCGGGGCAGGTGCGACTGTTCAGAAAAGGCATCAGGAGAGCTCTAATCTTATTATTAATGTACTAGATTCGATGAGCTCGAGATAATCTGAGCAATAAATGGAGTTGATGACCCGATTCATTAACATCGTCGCGTTAAAGCTTCGTAGTCAATTCGTCAGGAATCCTGATCCTGATGATCAGGATCCTTTCTAGCTATGATTCGAAAAACAGCATCGGTTAAGAAGTCCCCCTCATGATGCCACTTCGTTCCACTGTTCCTTAAAGTTTCGATATGGATAGGCGCGCGGAACCAAAGAAAGGCATCATCGTCGACGTCTTCTGATGATGATGATGACAGGGGAGATGGGGATTGTTTGCGCGTGCACTAGTTTCATTCCTAATTGTCGGTGAGGTAGAAGGAAGGAGAAGACGTCCAAGGAGGAAAGTCTATTCGAGTTACAGGTAATCATTGACTCGTCTTCTTCTTTCTTTTTTCCGCACGCACGTCCGATACGCTAATTATCCTAGGCGGTGCGAAGGAGAAGACCACATAATGGTTGGAAGAAGAAGATGGAATACGAATTGGAATGAGGTGAAGATACTGTATCGATGTTGATGATGATGAAAATGTGGAATTGAATGGGGTCTACTGTATGGTGACCTCCTTCGAAGCTAATGGAAATATTCGGAATGGGAGAGAGGATGGGGGTTCAGAGAGTAAGATCAAAACTTTGGATCAATATCAGTAACCCAACAAAATCCCATAAAAAGCGACATGAAAAGGGACCCTTAAATAATCTCATATTTCAATCTTCGTCCCCTTCGTATTTCTCCTCATTTCGCCGCTATCTTAACTAGGTTGTTTCCTCTTCTCTTCTTCGCCACCCCAATCGCATCAGATAACAGATTCCCTATTCGTTTTCCCCCATTAGAAGCTACTAGCTAATTTCATCGTCGGTTTTCTCATAAACAACAAACCTTGTGCAATCGATAGTAGAGTCCGCACGGATTGCACACGAGCTTCCCTTCTGAGTCTCGTCGCCACGCTGTCGTCTTGTCGGTGTGGCAGTTGGAGCAACGGGCGGCGTTCGGATCGACAACACTGGAGGTGGATTCGTCGAGAATCGAAGAATCTTGACTTCTGGATGGCGTGGCGACGGCTTCAATGACTTGTTGAACAACGGTGGAGGCGGTTGATGACGTGGCGATTGGTGATTCGGATTTCTGGAAAGATTTCTATAAAGTACACCGTTTTGTTTTCAAAATGATCTGAAGGAACGCCGCCGCCGACAAAAAAGAAACCGCGCCCCGGGTGATATATATGTTCTTTGTTTCTTCTTAACCGGGTCATTTGCACTTACCACTCGTTGCTGCTTCACGATACCGTTGTTTCCTCCTAGATTTGTAGAGAATTGAGCGGTGAGAGCGTCAAGAAGGTTCTGCGTATGCGCGTTGATCATATCACTGGACTCTTCATTCACGATTTCCATTTTCATATTCTCTATCGTTGAAGCCTCTTCCACTGATTTCGGCTCGCTTTTCACTTGCTTCGCCTCTGGAGGAGTCATCGATCTTCGTGGTGTCTGTTGTGCCGAATGTTGTCCGTCTTGTGATTGTTGTTGCACCAAGGAAAGCAAGTGCATCATTCCATTCGGGTTGGCGGCCATTGTGATCGGATCGAACAAATTGACAAAGCTTGTGAAGTCTGGGAGTGGAGAAGCGGCAGTCGGTGGTGTGTGCTCCTTTGGCTTCCTTTTGCGAGCACCAGACGCGCCAGAAGCCACGACGACAGCAGCAACAGATCCTGGCGGAATTCCGTTGTTCATTGGTTTGTCTTTGCAATCAACGATTTCTGGGATCTGCTTCGGTGGGGTGGCCTGCTCGACGACGATCTGGTGATCTGGCGACACTGGAGATGGTGAAACCTTTCCGGATGAAACCACAGATGACGTGGCTGTGGATATGGGCTTTTTGCTCAGTTCATCAAGTTGATTCTGCATCCGATCCATTCGCTGCGCCATCATTTGCATCGACTGGAAAATGATATTTTGATAATTTCAATGATAAAAGAGTCTTACTTTAATCATATCCGTCTGAAACTGTTGGCAGTTGTGACAGGGCTTTTTGATATCGTCTTTCGTTGTTGGCTCGTCCGCCATCATACTGATCGACATATGGAGATGGATTCTCTGTAAAAAAGGAATGAGGTTGGTTGGGAAGGAATCAGAAGGAGAGGAAAAAAGAGGTCAAGAAGAGAATAAGTCGATAATGACGAATGATTGAGGACAGATTAGCCTTCAGGCCTTTTGGGAAGAATGGATCAGAGAGAGCATCTATCAGTTTATGGCAAAATGGGAAGAATGATCTAGGATAGGAGATATGTTGACTACTCCCCTCGCGCGCGTCGCCAGGGGCGGAGCCTATTCGGAACCTCCTAGGGGAACCCCGCCTCCTCAGAATGATGGAGATTTGGCAATAAGGTGATAGACAAGGATGAGAGAGCTCGCTGTCAGACAGTGTAAGAAATCAATATGTGTCAAATTTGGACAACGTGAAGAGAGTATAAGGGACTAACACTAATTTGCGAATACAGAGCAATTAAGTGACAATCTGCTGATCGATGAGGGACTCTGTGCATTACGGTTGTTTTGGCCCATACAATAAGGGCCCAAAAAGAAAAGAGAAGCCGAATACCCGTTTTCAAACCTTCTAAACATCAGAGTTGATGAAAAGATTGTGATGACTGTGAACAAAGGAATGTAAAAGATGTTGGGGAGAAAAACAGATAGTGATCTGTTTCTCGTTATCGATTCGGTGCCGGGCTGATCAGAGGAGCTGATTGCGATCTCCTCTTCACGATCGTCGTCGTTTTGATGTCGTTTTGCCTCTCCTCTCTAGGACACGTCCCTCATCGTTTTGCCTCTTTCGCCTCTAACACGCGTGTTAACACCGAATCAGTTGCGCACGATCGCCCAAAAAGATTCGAATCTTTTATATTGTATGTCGATAGCGACACCGAATACAATAAGCAAAACGGGGCCTAGATTAACGATGATAATCGCAATCGGACACCATTGGGTACCGGACTTCTGATATTCTAACAGGGAATCTATAGATCACAGCCTATCAAACGAGCTGGTTCGCCGTACTCGGAGAATGCTCATAAAACCTATATTTCCCGCGCAAATTGCTCATACAACCTCAGAGAATTTTATGATGGATAATCAGCTGTCCGGGGTCGTTGTATTTTATGATCGTTTATACTCCTCCACCTCGAATTATCAAATTTTACGGTGTTTGGTTATATACTATTTGAGGTGAAGGGACTAGAATTCGAAAATTATAAGGAAACGAGAGTTTAAAAAGAAAATATTTTCGATAATTTCACTGAAATCGGCGAATATGTAGACATTCGAAGAAAAAAAACCGTTATTATAAGATTCTAATTGACTAATCAACGGAAAAAATGAATCGGGAAAATGAAAAAAAATGCAAAAAACCGGAAAAAAATTATAAAATTTTTATCTTGTCCGAGAGGAGTACACGAAAGAGGAAAAAAGTTTTAGATGACAGTAACCCGAAAAAGATCATAAAAAAGCAAAGAGTCTGAGTCAAAGAGCAGAAAAAGATAATAGAGAAAAAATTAGGGACCATTGGCCCACATCAGAACGCTCCGTACTGGGAACAATAGATCAGTATGGCCTTCCATATACCAGTGGTAACCCGACTGGCGCACGCGGGAAAATAGTGAGAAAAGAGTGAGTGTGTGTGACAGGGACGTTGTGCTGGGCGGGGGCACTCGAAAAGGTATATGGCCGGAAGCCTTCCTCCGATAAGCTCCGCCCACTGTTTCGACTACCTTGTGTTGGTCCGGAAAGGGTCCGTATTTGGAAAACGAAGAGGGCGGAGGGAGCTCAGGAGATAATGGACGTGTGGTTGGTGGTGGACCTTTGTCAAGTGGTAAAGAGAGGATAGAGTGGTGGTGAAGCTGTTAGAGAATGGACCATTGAATATTCTATCAATGAAAGTGTGTTACCTAGGGAACTATTGTGTTGGCTGACTGGTTGAGTAAAAGCTTTTGAAGAATAGGCAAACGGGTCAAATTATTGTCAGTCACAAGTTAGCGGAAATCATCACAGTGGGGTGCCCGCTCGCTATTCAGGTGTGAACGAAAATTATTCGGCAGTTTGGGAACTACAAATAGTTCTCTGAGCACTTCCCTCAACTTATCAGGTTACTGTAGATTGGAAGTACCGAGAGTTTTCGGATGAGATTTCTAGGAAAGATGATTACGAAATATTGAAAATTAATCGAGAGCAAATAGAGAGTCTAGGATAGCCCCCGGGTTTTAAAAGGCTGACTAAAATGAAAATGATGAAGATGATGATGCTATATAAAGAGAGGAAGCAAGAACAAATAAGGCCTTATAGAAGCCGAGGCAGTGTTGTCGTGTGTCCGACGTCTTCTGATAGTGATTCAGATAGTGAAGACGGAGACACGCAGAGATAACGTAGTGGGGGCCGTGAGGGACGAGGGACCATTGAAGGCGTGAGCGAAGGGAGAGAGAGAAGAAGGCTTTTGAAGAGTGGGAAAACAGCGCGATGCATATCAGTTGATGAGATGTTGTGCTTCTTCTTCTTCTTCTGGAGGAGAAGAAGAAGAACACGGGGCTTTCATAAGAGATAGATGAGAATGGAGGGAGGAGTGCACAGAGACGGGCTCACAAAGATAATTATGGTAATTATCTTTTGAAAGGGTAGGGAGGAAAGAATAAAGAGAGCATTATCATCCGGTTTGATCTGCTCGAAAGGGTTCCCGCCATTGTTGTCGGAAAACCTGAAGCTTCGTGGGAGGGGCAGAAACATATTACAGGAGGCAAGATATAAAAAAAACAGTTTTCTAGATATTTTGCCTAGAGAACCCAAATGAGAAGTTAAACTCATAAGGGACAGATCAGGGGTTACAGAGTATGGTCAGTAAGATAGATCCTCGAAAGTTTTAGTCAGATTAGGTAACCGCCTGAACCAGTCTGATTAGCTTAATTCTGAAACCCAATTTCTTTTAACTCTAAAGAGAGGGCTTCTATTATCGTTTTGACTCAATACAACCCTAAACACTCTAATAGAAGATCATCCTTTACGTGCATTTTGAACTCAATTATCTCGCTTCTTTCAAAATATATCAAAATTTGGTCAATTGACAAAATGTTTGTCATAATATCAGCTACATTTCATTAGTTGAAACATTTTTGATATCTTTTACGGAAATGTAGATAATTGAACTCAAAGTTGCAAGTATAGGGCGGCCTTCTGTTCAAGTGGTCCACTAGGAAAAGGATTCTGATAGTGTTTTCAAATTGTTAATTGGAAATTTTTTAAAAGATTTCACAAGAAGAATGAGCTGAGAGTCATCTACATTCTGGTTGGATTCGGAATGATGAATTCTCAAAAAGTTCATAAGGGTTTAGGGGCGATATCACATTTCATTTTATTCATTCTTGAAATAGTAATGAGTTCTCCTGCTATCTATTTTAGGATCCTCCATCTCTCTCTCTCTCTCTCTCTTTCTAGTCATATATGTGTTAAAATTGTGAAGGAAGAAAAGAGTGATGTGGAAAAGAAAAGGAAAACATCGAATAACATGTCTTTCACTCCCCCCTCTTCTACATAATTGCCCCTACTCCGAGTATGGGGCATTGTTATCTGAACATGGAGATAGCATATGAAATCAAGAGGCCCAAGGAGATACCCCTGTGACACTGAGGCACGAAAAAAAAGACACCACAGTTTTTTGTTCTAGAATAGATTTGTCTGTCTAGTGATGAACACGAAAACGATGATGAAAGAAGGAGGGTAGTGGGAAGTTGCCATTGGTAGCGGCTCCTCAGCCTAGCAACCGTTCGGCGAGTTTCGAAGTCACGTTGGAGTGTTTCCAAAAAATGAAATGACAAGAGAGCCTCCAAACCGGGGCGCTCACTCTGTAAAGGAGCAAAGGATAGAAAGAGAAGGAGTGGAAAGAGAGGGAAATTTGATATAGGCATGGGAGAAATGACAACAATGCGAGATATGGAATATCGGGGCGGGCGGGGTGAAATGGCGCGAAGAGGGAGAACAGAGCAGGAAGAGAGAGCCTGAGAACACGAGATGTTATAGTAGACGTGGGATCGAGAGTTAATAATATCAAGTGGTTGTGGTCCCAAGGCTGGAACCCTGAATTTCAGACTTCTTACAATGGAGCTTTCATTTTATCATAGTACCAGCAAAAGCGGGGTAATAGCTTATATTGATTATCACCTACAGTACCTTGCCATCCAGACTCCGCCCTCTTATCTTATCTATCGCATACTCCCCTCAATGGCTACTACCTCCTTTGTCCAATAGGATGATAACAAACTGATAGGCGGGACTTATCACTAGCCTTGTCGATATCAGTGTACACTTATCATTCAAGTCAAATCTGAACCATCAAATGCAAGAATCTCCTTCTGACTCAAAAATCTGTTGGCAATTAAAATTGCAGTGATGAATTCAGATGTGAATGGGGAGAGATAAAAGAAGAAGGTGGTTCGGTGCCGGAGTAAAGCGACAAGAGAGGAAGAGAGAGAGCGCCATATGGGCCTGGAGGACACACATAGGGAATGAGCACGAAGAAGAAGAAAGTAGAGGAAGAGATATCAAATCAGTCAGTCGGAAGGAAGGGAAAGAAAGGGACCTCTTTGTGCTGCTTCCCACTATTCAAAACATATGGTGACAGTGAAATTGGTGGAGGGGAGAAGGACGTCTTCTGATAAAAGCACGTGAGAGTTGGAAAGAAGGATCACATGTTTCAGAGTAGAATACATGGTGGAACACAACATGGAATGTGTACTAGTGAATACTGTAGAAATCAGTATCTAGTTATTCCAAGATCAGTGAGCAACCATATCAAACTGCCTCTCGGTCCCTTATATGAAAACGCTCCTTTCAAGCCAACTTGGCTTAGCTTGGCTTGGCTTGGCAACTTGGCTTAGCCAAGTGATCAACACGGCGCCAGTACCACTTTAAGAAGAACCCACCAAGATAATAGGCTTCTGATGCGGTGTTTTGTGGTGGTGGTGGGACGGGGGAGAAGAAAGAAAAGACGGGGATAAAGCCATCACAACAATGCCAATTTCGAAGAAGGGGGTTTGGCAGAG